CTATAAAAATCACTGCTTTCATCGTGCAAGCTCTATACCACAAGCCCATCGACATATTTTTTTTTGAACCTTTCGGACTGCTCTTCGAAAAACCATTTTACAACAAAGAATAGCATTTACCGACATCCTTTACCTATATTATTGGACGCGACATGGACTCTCCTGCACGTTCCGGTACCCCATCTGAGATGTCCTCACCTGTGGCCAATTCCCACCCTCCGCCATCGGTCCATAGGCAGATACACGTTCCGCCTGGCAGCAGAAGCGTATCACGTCGACACAATTCATTTTTTGATTCTGATTCAGAGAGGCTCTTGCCTGTGGGCAATCACCCCACACTGGCACCCCAGCCTAGCCCCCGCCCTGTATCACGTGGCCCCGATTCCCTTTTTGATTCTGACTCGGATCGAATGCCCTCGCCTGTGCCCACTGGTCGCCGTCCCCCTCCATGGATACCAGCTGACATGACTGTGTTCATACAGCCTTCCGACTCCTCATACAACTCGCTTTTCGACTCCGAGTCCGATGAGGATGCAGTCCCCGCGAATCCCATTTCCTATCCTTCCTTTCCTAAACTCGCTGATTTCTATTTCACTAAAGTCCTTGGTCAGGGTTCTTTCGGGACCGTTTACCTGGCCCGATCTCATTACAGTAAACACTCTACTGCTGTCAAAGTGACGTCCAAGAGGAACGTCGTCCTCTCAAGCTTTGACCAGTCTCTGAAAGGCGAAGCCAAAATTTTAGCCTCACTTGATCATCCATTTATCATCAGAATTGAATTTGCCTTCCAAAATCAAGACTACCTGTTCGTTGGACTCCAAGTTGCAACTAACGGAACCCTCAGCCATTATCTGGATGCTTATGCAGTCAGTACTGCTGACTCTTTTTCCGATTCTTCTTTTTCGCCCTCATTTCCGCTAACCATTTTCTTGTTTCGACAGCCCATGAGTACCACCCAAGCTCTGTTCTATCTGAGTCAAATTACCCTTGCTCTCGACTACATCCATGAGCAAGACATAATACACGGAGATTTGAAGCCAGAGAATTTACTAGTGTCCGAAGGTGGATACTTGAAGTTAACCGACTTTGGTCTTGCTCGCAGCATCTCCAGCGAGAAAGAGGCCAACACTTGTTTCGGAACCATGTATTACATGGCCCCAGAAATGATTAGACGCACCACCTATGGACCCTCCATTGACTGGTGGGCCCTTGGAATCATCATGTATAAAAGCCTGTTTGCCCGCTTCCCTTTTGAGGTAGAGCATTCTGCAGACGATGACCCAAGAAACTACCAAGGTAAACTCACAAACCTTTCATTTCTTTTCACTTCTTACTCTTCGCTTGCAAAGCCGCTAACTAATTCGCCCTGCTGCGGGGTTCCTCAGATGATCACGAAAGGGTTAAACTCCTCATTGTGAATGGCCGCTATCAGCTACCCTACCCCATTGACCCCCATGCCTTGTCGTTTATGAAACGACTCTTGTCGCACAACCCCAGTCATAGATTACTAGATTTTGCTACCATCTGCAATGAGTATGCCTACTTCGAGGACGTAGACTGGAATCACCTTTGGCAGAAGAAATACTTACCTCCATTCGCTCCCCCTAGCCCCAGCCTAGAGCTGCATGATCCGGCCTTCGATACGGACTACACATTCCGATATGTGCCTCGTAAAGTCGCTACCCGGGACCGTTTTCACGTTTTCTTCAAGGACTTTCACTACTTGAGAACCCCTTGGCAAGTCATCAAAGATGGTCAAGAACCTATGCCCATCCCATCCAGCAGTATTGACAACGGTAGCGCTTAATCTTTGATTTTGTTTCTGTACTGTTACCCCTTCCAAGTAATAGCCTGTATTTTCTTGTCAATCATCTCGTCTTGTGTCTCAAACATCTCTTTTCGCCATTGAAACTGTTGTATTCTTAACAATGAAACCCATTCTTGTTTAAATTGTGTGTGTGACGGGTTAAGCTCTAGGTGTCAGCCTATGTGATGCCAAGACACGTGTCCTCTAGCTACACAAGGTGCAAAAAGTAAGAGTTTTTATGGCAAAAACTCTGGGATAGAACTGGTACAGGTAATTCAAAAGAATTACGTGAAATTTATGGATTTAAATCAAAAAGTGGCCAATTTATATTAATAAAATTAATATAAATTAAACCAGAGGGGCCTGATAAATCAGGGGTGGTTTAATCCCTCTAAGGTATCGTGCAAAAAGCAGAGGATTTAGGTACCTGATACACTGGGGCCTGTAGCAGGTGTGGTTTAAATCCCAGGAGATAAATTTTAGGGGAAAATCTTCAAGAAAGGGTTATTACTTACTAGTAATAATCCAAAGGGGTCTTGAGGATCTTCTTAGTAGAAACTGGACAGTTGGGAGCGCTCAGAATAGTTGATTTTGGGTGCTGGGTGATAACTGGAGAGTTTCTTGAGGGTTCTTGAGGCTTAATAACAGCAATTTATAGTAGTAACTAGGCTAATTACAAGTGTAGGGGACTTGTAAAGGGTAAGTAAATTTCTATAAGGTATTGTAAAGCTGGGGGATCATTATTTGGGCGGTCAGAAGGCCCTTTAAATACCTGTGGAAGGCCTCAGGGGTTGCTCAGGGGAGCTTAGTAGGTCTTGGGAGCGCTTTTGGGCCCATTTTAGCCCACATGGTGACGCAACAAGGGCTGAAACCTTGGGGATAATATTCTAGAAGCTCCAGGGGGTCATGCACGAATTTATTTGAACCAAGAATATCCTTTAGAAGCCTGTGGGTAGGGGTTAGTCTGTTACGTGGAGCTATTTCCTTGGAAATGGGCCACAGAATATGCCAGAACTGGTTTCTGGGGCTTGTTACACGTGCTACAAGCTGGAAGATGGAATATACAGAGTTACTGTAGTATATTCATGAATATTCTAGCTTGTTTATATTTTTATTACACGTGTGGGGGCTTTGTTGACACGTGCACAGTGAGTTTCTGGGGCTTTGTGGCCCAATTCCTTGGATACTGGTAACCCAGAGGGGGTTATGCATGTATCCAAGGCGGGTAGGCATACCTAGCACGCGCGGGGGCTTGAGCCTGGGGCTCAATTGTAGTCAGGCGCGCCTGTCAACAGTGCGCAGCATGACTACGCGGCGCGCGGGCTTGGAGACAGTACACGCCACGCTACACTATCTTCTAAACTTTACACAACACTCCAAATCCGTGACAAGATTTGGAGTATATGCATTTGGTTATGTATAATGCATAATTATCCAGGGCCCGTGATCTAAAGGTACTGGTTAATTATTCATGGTAGTATTAAAGGGTGAAGGAGTGAGAATTGGGGGTACCTTTGGCTGAGGTACCCTAGGTGAATTTGTATGTAGATTTAGAATCTGCAAAAATAAATAAAGTTTTCTTCATACTTTCTAAGTTATTTGTATATTTTAAGTGTTTTTGTATTATTTACATAAGTAAAGTAGTTTCTTTTACTTATGTAATATTTTTACTTTATTCTTAGATTTTTTAAGTATTTTTTATTATTTTATTTTGCTATGACAGGTTGTCTCTGCCATAGTAGCAAGCTGACACTAGGTCCCACAAATTCTCACTTGGTTTAAAACCCCATTTTGATGATATTTTCACTCGGCAATTGTTTCCAGTAATCTCCTGGAACTGGAATTGGGCAGCCGCCAGTAACACTGCATAAACACACACATGCAATACAACATTCAGGGCCAAGAACAGTTTTCCTTAGCTTTGGTTTGAACCAACAGTGGGCCAGTTACACTAACCATAGTTTTAGTGCAGTGTAGTATTAGCTTTTCAAGCTACACTACAAAAAAATTACTGTTAGCAGAAATTTTGGCCCACTAACACTACAGATTTTTTGAAAAAAAAACTTTAGTGTAGTGTTAGCTGACTTGGAAAAAGTCCAACTAACGCTAACCAAAACCTTGTTAGCACAATTCAATCAATTGTAGTGGTGTTAGTGGTTGAAAACACTACACTACAGACCAGCGTAACTTTTTGATGAGTTACATTAACAGTTAGTGTAGTGGTTCCCTCAGTTACACTGACAGTTAGTGTAACAGATCAAAAACTTACAATAACTGTTAGTGTAACTGAATATGTAGTGACATGACCACATGACTAGTGTTAGTCTACCCTGAAGACAGTGCCTGATTGGGGGGCCTACATCCAGATCCCCACAATTGATCATCATTTTCTTCAGTTGGTAATGGGGGCCACTCAATTTTAGCCCCATGCCAATTTTTAACACTTACTTGTAAGACCACATTCCCCTGTCAGACTACCTTAAGATCATGGGTTCAATTCCCCCTCAGATCATACTTTACTGGGTTCCATTCCCACACTTACTTGTGTTCAATTTCCACTTTCACATCATGTAGCAAGGGGGGGATGCCAGGCTGCAAGAGCATAAATTCTCACTTGACACATCAATTTCTCTAATTGATAAGTTACACTATGCTACATGTGTAGTGTAACTTCGACTGTAGCGTAGCATAACTAGGTATGTAGTGTAGTTTAGTGTAGCTTAATTTGGCATAAGTTACGCTAAATGTTAGTGTAAAATCAGTTACACTATCTGACAGTCAAAATTTAGTTATCTCAAAGAAAGTTACACTACCTGTTAGTTTAACTGAGATTATTTGAAGCTAACACTAACAAAAAATTTGAGAGAAAAATTTACACTACACTAACAGTTAGCTCAGTGGGGTTTAGCGTGAGCTAACACTACAGAATTTCCAGGAAAAAAAATTCCACTACACTAACAGTTAATGGCCAAATAGCTTAGCTTAGCGTAGAGGCCCACTGTTGTTTGAACCTGCCTGGATAAGCTGGAAGACATATCAAATTGAAGTCATTTGTCTTTGACTCTTTAGATTGTCATGTACTTGTTTATGAGTGATATTTTCTACCATTGACTGTTAGGATAATATTCTAGCAAGGCCCAAATCATCATCCCTGGGGTGACAGACATGAGAAAACCCCATTGATGAATGTCTAGCAAAAGGTTTCCAAAACAGCCTGGTGGATCATATTGATACATACAAAAATCATACACATATGGCCTGGGGTTGATTCACAGTTTTTTGGCAATTTGGTGTTTTTTTTTGGCCCTCTGAAATTTTGTAACTCTGTGCTTTTGATCTTTTGGACTTATTGCATGAATCATAGTACACCAAGGAAACAACCATCCAAGCGCAAACAGGCTTCTGTATGTTTTTTGTGCTTCAACACCTAAATAGACATGAAACAATGAAGCAACCATCCAAGAACAAAAAAAAGAAACAACCTCAATGGACATGAAACAATGAAACAACCCATCCAAGAAAAAAAAGAAGAAGCAGACAACTGAGGAATAACTACTCAACATCCACAGGGCTTTTTTATTAATTCGGGAGGAGCTTCATCTGATTGAAGAGTATAAAACATCTTCCCCCAAGTCCAAATTGGGTTGAAAAAATTCTTTCCATGGCTTTTATTCCTCTGTGGCATAATTTGCCCACAAGGAGTCAAGCATTGGGGGCAGCCAGATTACACTGGGCTCAAGAGTAAAGGATATGAAATGGGAAAGATCTGAAAGGAGGAGGATGCAGATGGGGGGTTTGCTTGTGGGTTGGTGTGAAAGAGGAAATAAAGTGTAGAAGAAAGCTAAATTAACTAAGTCCCCTTGGGTGGGAGGTTTGCTGGTGCAAAGCACTGGCCGGTGGCAAAGCCACCCCTCCTGCAGAGAGGGACTTATCAACTATGTGGGGGTGCTTGCCTGGGGGAATCTTTGGAAATCGGGATCAGTTTCCAGGGACTGTAGCCCCCAGGACAATTGAGCTACATATATGGTTCTACAGAGAGAAAGATACACTTTCATCTTGGCTTGCCTTCTGTCAGATCTGCTTTTGAAGATATATCTTCAATCAAAAGAGCAAAGCAGAAAAACAAGAAATAAAAACTTACCATACTTGAGCCGGAGGTCCCAAGAGCATCCTGAGATGGGTGTGGTCTTGACTGGTCTTGACAGGCTTCAAAAATTTGCTAAAAAACCCTTGTGGGTATCTAGCTGAGGTTGCAGGCTCTAAAAATCCCAACAGCATCACTCTTTCCAATTTTTGGTTGCTGGGGTTGACATTATCAAAACTACAGGCTGGAAAATTCAGAGAGTGAATTTCCAGCCTGTTTTGCTGAGTGGGCTCAGGCAAGCACCCCCATAAAGCTTTTAAGCCCCTTTGCCACCCGCCAAACTTAAGCTTTACCCAAAACTGACCTCCCGCAAAGGGAGAGACTTTGTTAAGTTAGAGAAGAAAGCTCTGAGAACAAAACCACTGGCCGCTTGTAAGTGTCTGCCAATAAATGCCCATGGGCAGAAATATTCATCCAGAAATGGATTGGTGCCTTACTTAATGATTCTTGGAGATTTTTGGTACCTTCACCCCATACATTTACCAGATATTTTTCTGTTGAGTACAGTGAGTTTGTGACCATCTCTTGTTTCATTTTGGTCCAGATTTTTCCCCAGTTGTCCCTATGTTGTTGCATACCAACTGCTGCAGCATGTATCTCCATTTTTACAACAGTCAAATAAAAAACTGGGTTGAATTTTGTATCTTGGTTGTAACTTGTGTTTCCTCTTTTCCTTTAACACTGACTGAAAAAAAATCTCCAGTGATTATATGCTCAGTAAATCAGAATGTGAAGAACTAATCTTATATGCAATTCAATTAATGTTAACTAGTATGCATGTGTTGAATTTTTTGAGCTCTTGACCGGTTGAAGTTGGAATTTTTGAGAAGAGGGCACAAGAAAGGTTAAGGACCTTTTTTGGGAATGGTTCGCAGAAAAAGGATGAAAGAACCAATAATTTTTATTCACTGTAGGTAGGCTAGCTTAAGTAGACTAGGTACAAGTGATCAAAATGTGGTTTGAGAAAAATGAATAAGAAAAAATTATTTTGAATAAAAATTGAGAGAAGATAAAACAAGTTCTTGGAAGTAACAAACTATACAACACTTCTCATTCTCTTTTAGTAATGTCAGATGAGTTAATCAAGAAAAAAATGTTTTAAATCACAGATAACAAGAGGCGTTAATTCTTATTAATCAATTCTTAATAACACACAACAAGTCAGGAAAAAGAGAAGATAATACCGTAGAGACAAGAATATTGAGTTGAGCTCATGTGGTTCAAATTTGACTCTGTAGGGACTCAGAAACACAAAGACTGCTACTTGATATATTAATCTAGTCTGGTTGA